GTTTTAACATCAGCTCACTGACAGTCCTTTCTCAGGTAAAGTTCAGTGCCCATAAATTGGAAGGTCAGTTTGATGCGCAGATTCAACACTCCTGCTTTTTGTTGGCAGTGAAATTCATGTGTAAGTGCTGCTGTTTCAGTATGCTACTCTGTCCTCACTCCCTGAGTATTTATGGCTAGCATCTCGGAAGGAGTAACATAAGAGGAGTTGTCATCTACAATTTGGTATTTGTTTACAAGTGTTTTATGATTATTTGATATTTCAAATACCAAGCTGAAAGCAAGATTCTCATCTGGTGCTCCCTGGCTATGCTTCTGTGCTTCTAAACCCAGGTGCTCACTCAGCAATGACACTGCTCATTTTCTCATTAATTTGATTATTTCAAGATAGTGAATAGAGTTGGCCTTCCCAGCTTGCACAGATTGTCTGTTACTCTCTTCTGTACTATGGTCAGAAGGCATTGTGAGACTGTTTATTAGTGTGTTTTGTGGTCAAGTAGTTGGTATTTGCTTACAGCCAAAACCGGGAGTTGCTAAACAGTGCTTACCATAGAAAAGCCGCTGCTGCAGTCTGCTCAGCACTTGCCTGTGTTCATTTTGTATTTCCCCTCTTGATCCTGGCTGAGTGTGAGTAAATAAAATAACGGGAAGCTCATAAATACCCCTTCAGCTTTCAGTGTGTGTTGGAAGAGCTCGCCTGTTCTCTCTCGCTTCTTCTCCCTTGCAGTCTTTTGCCCGTCATTCAGGAGCAAACTGCACTGCCAGCTCGGCTCTGCGAGGGCAGAGGAATGCAAGGTGGTGTCAGTGGCTGGAAATGAGGGACGGTGGAATTCAGCATTTGTTCCACAGCAGCAGCTGTAGCTGGTTGTTTCAGCACAAGGGGCAGAGTCCACAGGCAGGCTATGAGCTGCCATTAGCCATAGGGAAAGACCACAGTGGAGGAAGATAAGAGGCACGAGAAGAGACAGTGACGAGCAGTCAGACCTGATCAGCTCTTGTGGGAAATCTGACCGAGGGAGATCATTCTATGGAATAAGCTGCCTTTTTCTTTTCAAATCCACCTCAGCCAAACACTGCTGGAGAAGAGACTGTGCTTAAATTACTGCAGCTAATTCTTGCTGCTTCCCCGACGAAGAAAATCCGTTTGCCATGGTGAAAGAAAAAGGTAATTGTGTTTATTGATTGATAGACTGGAGCTGTAACAACCTCAGGTGCCAACCTCACCTGAGGTTTAAACCCTCAAAAGCGAAGCATGCTTTGATTGACAGTTGCTGTTTTCTATAAAGGGGATGTGTCAAAACCTGCAGTGGATTGCACTGATTATCTCTACCTGGTTTAATATCACCCTCTGTTGTGTTTTAATAAGGGGAGAAGCTGGAACACACCTGATTAAGCATGTTTGCACAGCTGGTTCTTTCTGTGTGTACATGTATTTTCTTTTAATGTGATTTAACCCAAGTTTGCTGTTGACTGTTTTTTACCTGTATTTGCTACAGTTCAAAGAGCTTTGTCCACCAAAACAGTTACCTTAAAATTTTAACATTAAACATTAATATATTCAGCAAGCCTGGACTTGAAAGGGTCATTTTTTACCTTTTAATGAAAAAATAGGTTATGTGAGATTTTATATACTGTTTGGGTACTGCAGCAGTAAATTCGGTATCAGTTTCTGTTACCTATAAATAACAGTGAAAGCCTCCTACAGGAGTACTTACTAGTTGAAGCATTTAGAAGTGGTTGTGGGGTCTTTCCTTGTGATAATAGTGGTCTGTATCTTCTATGCATTCTGAAGACGTGAAATACACTGTGAATTGTATTTCAGTAGTGGATTGGATGTGGGTTTGGAGCATTATGTTATCATTACCTGTAGATTCAGCCTTAGTTTCTGTTTTGTGAAGAACAGGAACTGTCCTCTTTACTTTTGAGGACTCTGTAAAAGGTAATGTGGGATAAATTCAAATTAGCAAAGAAACAAGAAGTAGTTAAGTTGAATGAGAGCAATCAGTTCTTGAACTCTGAACACCCACATTAAGATTTTTTTAATGCTTTAAATGAAATAAATGGAATGAATTTAGCTTTGTAGATGTTTAGGTTGAAGACAGAAGCACAAACATCTCGATAGCCTGCTGTAGTGTGTCAGACTTATCAAGAGAGTTACAGTCATAATTTATACAATCTGATAATTTTGGTTGAGGAAGAGCAGTGGTCCAGCATAAATAGTATTGGCAACTTAGAAGGTTTGAGATCCGTTACTTCAGATTCACAGGATCATTTTGGTGAACTGTTGGCCTGCTAACAGTATAAGTAAGCCACAGCTTCACCCCAAATCCTTGAAAGTGCAAGGTTCTGCATCATTTTAGTCAACTATGCCACTTGTCTGTTCAGAAAAGTGAGGGTGTTATTGTAATTGTTGCTTGTTTTCTAAGATGCATTTTAAAATCAAGCTGCTGATTTTTCTTGAAGCATGCATAAAATATGTGTAGCCTTTTAGCTGTGTGTTCAGTTTTGATCCTTTGGCATGTTTCTGCTCCCCACCCTTCTGATGCTCAGTTCGTTGGGCTCCCTGAGCTACATGGGGCTGTACCTTAGGAGTGCTCTGTAAACACAATTCTAGCATCTTACACTATGAAAGATGTCATATACCTGTAAGAAAATTAAAAGGAGCCTGTCATTTATATAAAAAACAAGAGGGAAAACTCGACAGTAAATGGTTGAAAATGTGCTGAAGACTTGTGGTTATATTGCTTCCTTTCCTCCTCCCCAAGTTTAATGACTTATTTATAATGGCTATTAACATTGATATTGGATATAATTTTTTCTGTTCACACAGATAATGACTGAAATAACTGCCTTTGATTTTGATGTACAACTACTTCTGTTTCATATCTCATGGCTGCAGAATGAGAAGAGATAGTATCTGTTTAGTATTTTGCCTTTCTACCTTATTACTTTGAAATAATTTCTCCAACAAAGTTGTTTGGGTTTCATCTGTTTTCTTCCCTGCTCTTTTTTTTTTTGCCTTTTTTCCCTTTATTCCCCCCCTTACTTTACACAGAAGGTCAGGAGTTATTTACTACTAAGAAGCTGCTACAAATACCATTCTCTAGAGTGATGCTCTTGCAAAATGCAGGCCAGTACAGTACAGCTGGTACCCTGCCTTCCAGCCACTGCTTGAGCTGCTGTTTGAACAAGCTGAAAATGCATTCAGGCCATGTCATTTCATAAACATGTTAACCAGGCACTGGAGGGGCTGGTTTCAATGAGAAAAATGCAGTTCCAATCCAGTGAATTGCAAACGGGTTAGTAACAGATTTCAGCAAATTAGCATGGTTCATTATGCTCATATTGTGGGATGATTTCAGTGTCTGCCTGGTTAGTTCATACACAAAAAAAATCCTGAGGCCAGGGTGTTTTCTGCTGACACCAAATGGCGCTTCCTAAATTACGTCTGACTGATACCCTACTTCCCTGGCTCTGGCTGTGTACTTATCTATTTCCCATTATGAGCCCTTATTATCTAGTTACTCAGCTGAATTGTTACTGTGCTGCATCCAAGAGCAACTTTCTCTCTTTATACCCTTTAATGGAAATAAAGCTCGCATGCACATATGCATGTCTTGTTATTATTTCTCTTCTGCAATTTAAAACCCATATGGAATAATCTGCGTTCTTAGTGCTTCGATGTGTAAATTGTGAGCCTCCTAGCCATGTTGCTGGGTGATACAAGTGTTGTAGCTTCATTTTTATCTCCACTAGTTCACACAAACTGAGGATTAAGCCTTGATTCTTGATTTCTTGACCAGCTGATAAGAAGACTGTCATAGACATGCCAAGTCTGCAAGAGCATACTGGGAGTCAGCTTTGTACCTGATGAGGTTTTGGGGCAGACCATACACAGGCAGACCTATGATAGTGGATTAGCATCTATTCATGCCAAGCTTCTCCATGCTTGGGAGGATAAGAGGAGAAAAGAGGAAGGATTGATGATTCTTTGGATTAAGGAAGTCGATATAGGGGCTTTATGATTTCTATTCTTCACATACTGATTCTGTTGAAGGGTAGATGCTGGCACCTACTGGGTGCCAAGTTGCAGTAAGCTACATTGTGATTCCATATTCTCACAACTGTCCCTGGGTATCCAGTTGGTGCTGGCTTTCCCTATAAGCAACATGGAAGATGTTGTTTACCAAAATGTTAACAGCATTTCCTGTATAATTTGGCTAATGGCCTAATTCTGTCTTGCAGAGAGATTCAGTTCTGTGGGGTTTTTTCTTCATACTTTTGATAAAGCATGAGGCTGATACCCCTGAAGGTTATGACCAAGGGGACTGTACTCATGCTTGCAGTAGCTCCAGGCATTTCTTACTTTCCAATCGCATAACCCAAGAGCTTTTTGGTTTGTTATAAATGGAACTGCTTTAGAGCAGTTCAGCTCCTTGAAGAGCATGCAATATGTTACCTGTGTGTTAACTTAAAGGTGTTCTCTATCCCAAACACTGTCTCTCCCGTGCTCTGTGTATTTGTAGTCTTAATATTTATTCCCACCGTGAAGCAAGAATATGTTGAATAATGGGATTTGGGTCCTGACCCTGTCTCAATGTCACGGTTGCTAATGAAACATGGTCTTGATCTGAACTTCTGACTTTGGAACTTTCAACCCCAGGTGACCTGGGAAAATCTCCAAGTGAGTTGGTTTTGGAGCACATGACAGGATTATGCAATACACCTCGGCAGGGGGAGGATGGGGAGTTTCACTTTATTTTTGCTTCAGTTTACTTGGTCTTAAATTCAGTTCTACTTGACAGTTTGCTTTTGGGGCTGCACATTTGGGGTTTGGTTTTGCTTTATTCTATGTGCTACCTTCCACAAGCCGCAGAGACATCATTTAGTAAATACACGTAGTAGTAGATGTTAACAAATACTCTCGTAGTTAAAGTACTAAGCTGTGGAACAGCTCTGTGTTAGAGGCTCTTAAAGTGACCTTGGGGAAGTAATTTGATCTCTCCTTGTGTTAATCTGTAAAATGAGGATAAGAACATTCCTCTTGTCTGCCTCGATTATTTGGATTCGAAGTCTTTGGAGCAGAGAGTTTTCTTTTACTTTGGCTCACACCTATGGCAAGGAAATCTCAGTCTTGGGATTTAACTACTTGGGCTTGAACAACAAACCAGATCCAGTGGTATGTGAATGTCTTATAAACGTCTTGCTGCTTATTCTGTACTTTCTCTTTCTAAATTTACTTTTAATATTAGGTTTCAAATTGCAGTTCTGCTGTACAGCACTGATACTGAGAGAAACAGAAATAACCCAGGAGGGGCCAAATCAGGCATGTTTGCATTGGTGATTTTAGTTCTTTTTAAATAGCACTTAGTTCACATGAGGGGACGAATACTCATATCCACAGTCAGGCAAGCAGTGTTCAGTCCTGCCATGCCTGCTGGCTTCCCCTGTTTCCCAGTAGTGAAATTCCATGCATTTCTTGCACCCCAGCTGCATATAGAAGCCAGCCCTCTGAAGATGCGATGGCAGTTATTTTTATTGAGAAATGGGAGAACTTGTGCTGTTGATCTCACTGAAGGGGAGGATTGAGTGGTTTTAGCCATTAAATTTGAGACCACAGAGTTCATGGTTTCAGGTAGTGGCAGAGGCAGTTAAGCTGTTTCACCATCTGAAATAGCAAGTGGTGTGAGCCAAACCCCCAGTTTTGAGTAGGGGAGATCCAATCAATTTAATTTATTGGCACCTAATAAACTTTTAATTACTGATTCTGGTGTTGATAATAAAAGCAAGCAAAGACCCACTTGGAGAAACACATCTTAGCTCCTCTCTGGACACTTCTTCCTCTTTCTGGTCCCCAGTCTCCATGCCACCCGTTATGCTCCATACCTTTGGTGTGGTAAGGGCAGTGCAGGAGGCTGGGCTCAGTGCATCATTGTTCCTTTCATTTTGTTGATCTGTTTTTCTTCCTGTGTTATTCGCCATGGGTTCCTCTGCTGGTCACAGCCCTTTTAGAGTCGTACCTCCTCTTGAGCCTCCTCTCTGTCCCTGCTTGGGGCAGCTTGCTTTCCTTAGCTATTCTCCTGCCCTGGCATCATTTCTGTTTCTCTTATTTGTGCTTTGGTGTCTCTCTTGCTCTAGCATTGTCTCCTCTGTGTTTCGGTATCCTTGGTGCTATGGCATCTCCCTTGTCTCCTGCTGAGGGTCTCTCCTTTCAATGTCCTTTCCTGCTTGTTTTTACAGAGGTGCTCTGTGCTCCTCTGGTTTAGTTTTGGTGTGCAGGTCCTTTTTATCCACTGCTGAGCTGGTTGGAATCATTTGTGACCAGCACAATGTGGTCCATGACTGCCTCCAACCCAAGTCACTACTGCAACACCCTTGCTTCCAGAGCCTTGCTTGTTATGTTGAATAACAAATGAGTAGAGAGCAAATTATATGGTTGGTTTTCATGGATAAGAATTCAAAAGGCAAGACTTTTAAAGATAGAATCTTGGCATAGTGAAATCGTGCATGTTTAAAATACATTAAGCTTGAGCAAAGGAATGTTTTTCCAGAGGGAGGGTGGGATGCTTGATAGGAAAGAACTTGCAAGTTAGGATGATAATTTGGCCTGATGCTGTAGGAGAATCAGTTCCTTTTGTGGAAAAATTAATGCATAGCAGGGGAAAAGTCCAAGTGGCACTAATCAAAATGTGCTCAGCCCTTTGGATGGGAGAAGCCAGAGAACAGGTTTTTGTTGTTTCTGGGAGCAATCTATAACTAAGTTAAAAAGGATTGTTTACAACAAGAGTTGGTTTTCCACCTAGAAAGCAGTCGGTATCCCCCAAAGGATGATTAATCCTTTCCTTCACTGAGCCTGGATAGCTTTCAGGCTCACAAGAGATCTGGCTGAGGAGAACACTTAGGCATTGTCTTAAGCCTGTTCTCTTCAGCAAAGTATCTTGTTGAGTCTAATTCAATCACTGGGATTTAAAGCTAAGTAAGTGCTTCAGTGTTGCTCAAAGCCTGACTCCATTTTTGGAGGCTTTGTGATGTTTTTGCAGTAGCGTCAGGTATTTGATTAATGGCAGTCATTTTCAGCTGTATGTTAGCTGTGAGAAGAGATATGTAAGAGACATGTTGTGTATGAGACAACAATGGGAGAAATAATACTGTCTTTTATATAGGTTTATCATAATAAGCTATATATGAGTAATGCCAGATGCCCTGTATAGCCCAACTGTGCATGTTATATAGAATCATAGAATAGTTAGGGTTGGAAAGGACCTCAAGATATGTTGTTATATTCCGTATAGACAGGAAAAAAAGAAGAGAAAAGCTGAGAAAACACCTCAAAGCTGCAAAGTAAGGAGTAACTGTTAAAATAAGGGTCAAGTCAAGTAACGCCAGCTGTTCAGAAGTGAAATGCTGTTGCATTTGTGCTGAATGAGTCTAATGGGCAAGGTTCTGTAAACAGTGTCAGTGGGATAGCTCCCTAATTCCCAGTGCTGTGTGCACCAGTCTGAAACCACAGATGTTAGTATAATCTATATGCAGTATTATCATAGAAACATAGAATAGTTAGGGTTGGAAAGGACCTTAAGATCATCAAGTTCTACCCCTCCTGCTATGGGCAGGGACACCTCACACTAAACCATGTCACCCAAGGCCTCGTCCAACCTGGCCTTGAACACTGCCAGGGATGGAGCATTCACAACCTCCTTGGGGAACCCAGTCCAGTGCCTCACCACCCTCACAGGAAAGAATTTCCTCCTTATATCCAATCTAAACTTCCCCTGTTTAAGTTTTAACCCATTACCCCTTGTCCTATCACTACAGTCCCTAATGAAGAGTCCATCCCCAGCATCCCTATAGGCCCCCTGCAGATACTGGAAGGCTGCTATGAGGTCTCCACGCAGCCTTCTCTTCTCCAGGCTGAACAGCCCCAACTTTCTCAGCCTGTCTTCATACGGAAGGTGCTCCAGTCCCCTGGTCATCCTCATGGCCTCCTCTGGACTTGTTCCAACAGTTCAATGTCCTTTTTATGTTGAGGACACCAGAACCGCTCTATATTAGTTCAGGATCTGCTACAAAAGCAGGCTCTTAATATGACACCAACTGAAAGAAGTGATCCAAATATAAACACAACCTTGCAGAGCAGTTAGGGTTATCTTTTATTGCTGCTGGCACAAACAAGGGTCAATAAACGGCTTCTTTGTTCAAAGAAGCAGTTTCATTTGTATTTTACCTTTTTCTCCAAAGGCACCTCAAAAAGGGATTTGATGTATTTGAGATTGTCTGCTTGCTATCCAGCACTTGAAGTGCTAGCCCAGGAATGAGCTACGTTCAGGAGTACTGTATTGGACCACCACAGAGGAAGCACTGACCATTTACCATATAGTGGTAAAAGTTGATAGCCTTTCAGAGCACACCCATTATTTATTGTTGAAATGATACATCTCAAGGAATTGCCTTTTACACTGCAAATGTTTGTGAGGTGTAGGTGTCCTATCACTTGTTACTTGGGTAAAGAGACCACCCGCCTCCTCTCCCCATCCTTCTTTCAGGTAGTTGTGGGGAGAATCAGTTGTGCTTCTTTCTGGACCTAAACCAGAAAGGACATGGGCCATATTGTCCGTCTTTACATGTCTTTCTCCCATAATCCATCCTTCTTTCCTGCTCTATTCATGCTGAGCTCTAACTTACATCCCACCAGCACCCCAATAAAAGGAGTGTGAGTTAACATAGGAGAGAGCTGCTGGTGCCTTATCCTTTCACTATGAACGCACTGGCCAGGTAATGTAATCTCACGTGTGTTTGTACCATGTATGACCATGATCGGGCACTGACTTTTACAGTGCCAAAAAAGATGATGTCCTGAAGTGTCCTGATTGCTACTGTGGTCCTGTTTGCATCCACAGTTTTCAGTGGCAGATGAATTGGAAGGGCAAATAACAATAATAACAATACTTTTCTGGAAAATATCAGAAAACACTTAAAAATGGCTACAAGTTTAAGGATTTTTTTATGCCTTTTAAAAAAACAGCTACTCTCATTATATGTAGACAGCGAAAATATAAGACAAATTGGCAAACTGTAGGCACAATACAGATACATTTACAGGCAGAGAGAGTTTTAAAATGAGTCTTCAGATGTGATTTGAGTGGCAGTAGTATGAGCAAGCTACAGTCTAGGATTTTGCCTTAGGCTTTTTCATGCATGTGTAGGCATGCAACTCACTAATATCTCTTTATGGCACTCTCTCCTTCTGGGATATCCTGGAATTCCTGAAGATCTCTGTTTGATACATGTGGGTAGTGGTTACAGTGATTTCTTTATCTGTCTGTGTCAGCTGGGGGGTTTGATTTCAGTCTCAGTCCCTGTTTGGTCACCTTAGCTGATAGGATTCGTACAGATTTAAGATTCAGGACCTGAGTCTGCAGATAAGCAAAACGACACTGCATTTTTTCACCCCTTTCTTTTAATAGGTATTTCAGCCTCCTCAGGGCTCCACTGTGCTGGGCTTTCATGAAAGAGAAATTCCTCAGAGGGCCTATGGGCTATAGACAGGCTTTACAAACCAGGGATTCCAGACCTGTAAGAGACACAAAGGATGGGAGAAAATTACTTCTCTCCTTCTGAAGAGAGCATGAAGAAATGATAAGCCAGATTTGGTTCTTGAACTTGGTTATGTGGTGTGTCCTTAGCACCTTTCATCTCAGAGCAGCTCTTTTCACAGCTTGTGGTCCTGTGCGCTGTGCCTCCCTGTCTCCTCTGCCCTGTGCCAAGCAGGCAGCTGCCCACCTGGAGTTGCTTGACAGCATCAGCTTCATCCCTGGCAGTGTTCAAGGCCAGGTTGGACGAGGCCTTGGGTAATATGATTTAGAGCGAGGTGTCCCTGCCCATGGCAGGGGGGTTGGAACTCGATGATCTTAAGGTCCTTTCCAACCCTAACTATTTTATGATTCTATGATCAGAGACTGAGGAAACCTTAACATATAGACCTTCAAGTTTGAACTTCACATCCTGTAAATGAATTTAAGAATTGATGGCCTGAAATTATTCCTGAAAGCAAAGAGTGAGGACATTTAAATCAGTCTAGCAAAAACCTATGCCATAGTTTCACAACATTAAATCTTTGCTTAATTTGTCCTTCATAATAGTTCAGTCTTCAGCCTAGAAAACACAGCAGCTAGTGGCAAGTCAG